CAAAAATTTGTTAACCGTTCTTGCTTTTAATTCTTGGGCAGACAAAATAGTTAGGGCCTGTACCTGAGTCAAATAAAAATAAAAATAATATTTAAATTTACTCTGAAATCATGTTTAAAAAATTAGGGCCACTAAATATCATTTTAAAAAATTGTAGCCAGCCCTGGCTGGCATGGCTCGGTGGATTGAGCATGGGCTGCGAACCAAAGCATCGCAGGTTCAAATCCCAGTCAGGGCACATGCCTGGGTTGCGGGCCACCGGCTACCAGCAACCGCACATTGATGTTTCTCTCTCTATTTTTCCCTTCCTTCCCTCTCTAAAAATAAATAAATAAAATCTTAAACAAACAAAACAGTGAATCACATAGCAAGAAAGTGATTCCCATTTAAAAAAAAAAAAGAAAAAAGAAAAAAGAATTCCTGCTCACTTTCTATGATGTTTTTGGAGGATGAATGGGAGGCACAGATGAGACATAGGAACCACAGTACTTTGAACCAGCAGTTCTCAAACCTTATGGATTTCTTCTTAAAAATAATTTATTTTTTAGAGAAGTGATGGGAGGGAGAAAAACGTCAATGAGAGAAACATCAGTAGGCTAGGCTGCCTTGCAAGTGCCCCAACCAGAGAACCACACAACCTCCTGCTTCGTGGGACAAAACCCAACCAACTTAGCCATACCAGTCAGGACTCAAACCTTAAGGATTTCAAAAACCAGTTAAACTAAAAACAAAACAAAACAAAAAACAACAGTTTGGAATTACAGTTGCCAAATTTTAATTTTACAACAAAAGGACATTACACCTGAAATGTAGTCTAGCAGTTTCATCAAATACTTTAACATAAAAATGACAATTTCAAGATAAAGGTAGTTATTTTTACTGTGCAAATTTAGATTCACAAATACCTCATTACATAAAAACAGTTCCATGTAAATTTAAGATATAATGTGAAAAAGTAAAACTTTTAAAATATTGTGCTATTTTTTTTTAGGTTTTATTTATTTATTTTTAGAAAGGGAAGGGAGGGAGAAAGAGAGAGAGAGAGAAACATCAATGTGTGGTTGCTGGGGGCCATGGCCTGCAACCCAGGCATGTGCCCTGACTGGGAATCAAACCTGTGACACTTTGGTTCACAGCCTGCGCTCAATCCACTAAGCTACGCCAGCCAGGGCCCAAAAAGTAAAAGTTTTAAAAGAAGCTGTAACAGAACCTACAACTTCAGGATAGAGAAGACTTCCTTTAAAGAGAAAAAGCACAATCATAAAAGATCAAATTTGACATTAAAATTAAGAACATCATCTTGAAAAATGATTTAAATAAAATTTTAAAAAATTAAGAACATCTAGTCATCAAAAGGCACCATATTTAAAGTAAAAAAGGCATGCTAAAGATTAGAAAGATATCTACGAAGTCTACCAAGTATTATTACCAGAATATAAGAAAAGCATTTATAAATCAGTAAGATAAACAATCCCATAAAAAACCCCATATAATTCATAGAAAAGGACCACTAATGGATAAAAATAAATGAAAGCGTTCTCAATTACAGTACTAGCTGGGGAGATGCAAATACTACTACAATGAGGTACCATTGCATATTCCTCAAAATGGCAAAACTTAAGTCTAAAATATTTGGAAGGTGGGAAAATAGATGGACCTACCCATTACTGAGACAAACACTTTGGAGAGAAACTGGTAGTTATCTAATAGTGTTGAAGCAGCAGCATCTACCTGTGTTCTAGAGCAAGCTACTGCTACTAGACATATCCCAGAGCAATCTTCCTCAATGTTGGCTGTTAGCTGTAATAATGAATGGGGGACACTAATTGAACAGATGCCAGGGGTGCCAAGCACTCTTGGTGTGTGGAGATTATGCTACCCCATGTTTTTTGAAGATTCTGCTGGACATTGATTAAGGGAACAGGAAGAGAAAAATACAAGGTCAGATATTTATAAACAGAACTTAACACAAATATTTGTGTTTTAATACAGATGATTTTTAAGAATTCATCCACTTATTAAAGAGATGACCACACTTCCACCAACAGTGACGGCCAATTCAACACACCTGTCTTAGTCTGCATTAGTAGTCACTGTCCTATTCATGGTGATACTACCCATTGGTGCAAAGCCGCTGACTACTACTATTTCTTCTAGCAGTGCACACAAATCCCCTGAGAATCTTGTTCAAATGCAGCATCTGAGTTAATAGGGTAGGGCCCGAGCTTCTGATTTTTAACAGGCTCCAAGCATTCTGATGTTATTGGTCGACTGTCACACTTGGTAGCAAGATGTAGAGGGTGGTTGAGCCCCAGGCATGTTATATTACTTTGCTACAAATTACTTCTCATATTTTAGTAAGTGCATTACTTTAAAATATGAATGTTAGTTTATTATGAATTTTATTTTAGGACAGTATTTGGGAAGTTGCAAAATATTTCTATAAAATGGGATATAGGGTCAAGAACCATGTGCCTAAGTAAACATATACAAGAATATTCCCTACAGTACTGTTTAATAAGCAAACAACTGGAAACAACTAAAATGACCAACAGAAACTTGATATAGTCACATAATGTGGAACATATACCACATTGCAGCAAAAATAAAGAAACTAGAACTACCTGAATAAACACAGAAAAATCTTGGCAAAGTGAGTGAAGAAAGCAAGCTACAGGAAGGATGTATGTTAATTTGGAGTTAGTGATGTGGAATGGGGGAAAGGGTGTAGGATTTAAATGGTGTTTGGAAAAATACTGCTCCAGAGGCAAAGGATCCAGAACTAGATGTCAGAACGCTCAAGTTCAAGTCTCAATTCTGCATCTTACAAACTGTAGCTTTAGGCAATTCAAATAATTAAATTATCTGGGCTTTATTTCATTTGTTTAAAAAGGTCATAAACATTATTTTTCCTAACTCACAAGGCTGTATTTGAGAGGCATATAAGGCAACATGTGTGAGAAACTTTTAACGGGGTAGAAGAGGCAGGTATAATCTTTGTACAGTAAGAGCAAATACCTGGATACATTGGAAATAAAATCTACTAGTAAATAAACCAAACAAGTTTATTTGTTACTCTCTTTTCTTGTCATCACTGATTCTAAAGATATAACATCAATCTTAACATGGAAGGGACAGAGTTGATCAAGTCCTAAATGGCATACAGAAGGGATTTCCTCTATCAAAAGTTTATGCTAATTTTTCACTAAAAAATTGAAATTTATAATATCAAAACAAAATAAGAAAATTGCACATCAGAGTACTCTTATTTAACTAAAACAATGTCACACAACCAGAGTAACTGTTGATTCTCACTGCCCTTCGTATGCAGTGAGCAGGTGGGACATTTTATTAGCCCTGTATCACAGAAGGAGAAACTGACTCAGATGTTGGATAGCTGGCCTGGAATTACAGACCAATGCTAGGTACATTAAGCTACCAAAAACATTGTTTTGTCATGATACTTTATGGTAATTTTAGTTGTCACAGGGATACCGAAAATTGGTAATGTCATTTCATACCCATTTCAAAATGGGCAAAAATACTTAACAAAACAAACCCCTTATCTACTACAGTACCATACCAAGGGACAAATTTAAAACTGCCTAGGCCTGCTAAAAATCTAATCGCATCCTTGCCAATTAACCTTATTAATACTACAGTAGGAGAAAAGAAAGGTCAAAATATGGGTAAGGGTGCTATTCATTTCCTCCATCTCAAATAATATAGCAATTATTACTCAACAGGGATTCTACATTTTTTATTAGTGGAAACATAGCTATCTGCACTGCTTCAAGTAACCCACCATTCTCACTTCCAAAATAGAAATTTATCAACAAAAAGTTGGGACAGCCTTAAATTAGACCATTGCAATTATGAATACTATCAAAACATTGGTTATTAGATATTAGACATTATTATCCAAGTGACTTTATGCTGTAAAAATGTGAGAAACTTTTAATGAAGAAAAGTTCGTTTTAAGTCTTCCTGTTAATGTAAACAGATGAATGCTATTACCACATGTACCTTACTTTTTACTCATTCATTTTGGTAATTTGATCCTTAAAAAAAAAATCAAATGAATCATCTTGCGGATCAAGATTATTACAAAGTATTAAACAGGAATACCTTTTCATAAACAGCCAAAATTTAAAGGTCACCCTCTCTGTAGTCCGTTATTCATCCTTTTATTTACCAAATCCATCTCACACTAACTTAAATCAAAGCATCGTTAAAAAAAATCATGCCTAGGCACTGGCAGAAATTTCACCATGGATTTTTTTTCCCCCCACAAAACGCGCGGTTAACTCTCTTTACAAAGACCTTCACAACAATACAATCTAACTTGACAGAACTTTCGTCTCAGGATTTAAAAAAATCCAAACATAAACTCCAATTATCCAATTCAAAATTCCCGACGCGTCTACCCTAGAGTTCAAAAATAGGTAAGATTTAAGTTCACCCACGTAGAGAAAAAGAACCCTACCGCGCGACCGAAATACACAAATCACTAAGCACCCGGCAGATTCGATCTCAAATCGAGGCTGACACACGAGGACATTCAGGAGAAAGCTCTTGGGTACCGCGAATCTCAGAGTGAACCTGACCTCACCTGTCGGTTCACAAGGAGATAAGCAAAGGAAGTGACATGAGACCCTTCTCGGCAAGAAGGACCTAATAAGACCTTTCCTAGTCTGTCAGTCCGTCCCTCCCTGCCCCCAGATTCCCGCAACCAGGTGGACCCCAGGTACCCTATTCTACCTTTCCCTTCCACCGAACCACTGGAGAAGGCTCTCCAAAATGCAGACCCAATCCGGAGGGGCTTCCCTGCCTTAGCCCGGCGTCCAGTGGGATCCCGGTCTCCAACAACAAAAGACGCCTCCTGCTCCCCTCCCCCCGCCCAGCCGGCGGCTTCAGGTCCCTCCGACGCTGCGGCTCCGGGCCTAGCGCCCCCTCCTCAAGCTCGGTCGCAGTGCCCCAGCCCCCGCGGCCTCACGCACCTGCACCTGAGGAGCTGCAGCCAAGGTGTCTGGCAGAAAGAAAGGGCTGGGAGGGAAGGTCTGCCGACGCGCTGTCCTCCACAAGGCGCGATCCGTGAAGCTGCCGCCGCGGCTGGATTCTCCCAGCGTGTGGACGGGCCGGGCCAAGGAGGAGAGACGAGAGCTGCTGTCCCCGGCGACCGGACGAGTAAAGACGGCAGCGCCCGAGAGGGCCCACTCGCGCTCCCGAGTCCCGCCTCCTCGCAACGGCCCTGCTCCTCCACACAGGCTCGTGTTCTGCTGACTAACGGCCCCGGCGCAAGGCGCTGGAGCTGCCGCCGCCGCCGGCTGCTCTCGGGCCTTAAGTCCCGAGTGGCCGTGGTCGCAGCTGCCGCTGCCGCCGCCGCCGCCGCCACCACCGCCGCCCTTTCTGGCACTGCAGACACCACCCAGACCTAGCCAGTTCTTTCTTCTCTTCAATCCTCCTTTCCTTGCTCCTTTTCAGCCTGGCAGCCGCCGGGCTCCCCTCGTGGCGGGAGGAAGGCAGAAAAGGAAGCAAGGGGCACGAGGAGAGGACTTGCTCAGGCAGGAGTTGGTCACTGACTGGATGAGGATGCCAACGCTGACCCGGGCTCCAGCCTGCAAGCTGGCCGGGGGAGGAACGCAGCCTAGCTTCGCCCGACTTCCACCAATCACAATTCGTCGTACGGAGTCGGGCGCCAGGAGAGGCTGAGCTGAGTCGGCAGGAGGCGGGGATTGCGGAAAAGAAGAGCCAATAGAAGTAAAAGTTCCCTGTACCTCCGCCTAGATCAACTGCCCAGTTCGGACCAATGGGGGAATTCTCGCTTCGAAGAAAGGGGGATTTATATGTGGGGTTTGATAGAGATACTAAGTGGAGGGAGCCAGTACTGGCTCCGTGCTAGAGCCTCGAAGTTGCTGAGGAGCTGAGGGTGTCCTTTGACCTCCTACAAAGTCACGTGGGCTGGCAGGGGCGGGGCGGAAAAGCCGGATAAGTTCCTTCCGGGTCAGTGACGGAGGCGTCTACTCCTAGAGGTAGTTTCTGGCGTCTTGGTCTTATCTGCATCTTCGTTGTCCCAGCGCATGGTGATTGTGATTTTGGCGATGAGCTCCCAGAAAGGGAACGTGGCCCGTTCCAGGCCTCAGAGGCATCAGAATACGTTTAGCTTCAAAAATGACAAGTTTGATAAGACTGTTCAAACCAAGGTAGGAACCTGTTGCTCGAAATCTGACTCTAGGAAGGAATGAGTGGTTCAGGGGAGGGGAGAGAGGAAATGAAAGGATTTGGCGAGGGCGAGTGTGGACCGCAGCCCAGAGTTAGTTTTGGCTGCAGTGCAACCCTTTCCAAAATGACATTCCCACACCCTTTCTTTGACCTCGATATGTTGACTTATAAATGTATTTGGCAGTCAATACTTAAATAATTTCACAAAGTGAATGGGACCCTCGTCAAACCTAAAATGCAAATGGGTCAATTGAGTTGTTGAACACTCCCATCTGGTTCACACATTTGCCGTAGGAGAACGAGGACTATGGCTGGAGTGTCAGAGTTTGTACAACGTTTATGCAGCAACCATTTCTTCTTGGAAAACGTTAAGCTCACAAATTTGTAGGAAGAATGTGAAGGACTGGTCGCTTCTAGCCCTAATGCCTCACCAACATAATGGGTAGAAGATGATTTTGTAAAGATTATGTTGAGGATCAAACTGTGATTAATATATTAAAAGCATGCTTTACTTCTCATAAGTTACTTACTTCTTTTTTAAAAAATAGTTTATTTATTTTTAAAGAGAGGGGAAGGGAGAGAGAAACGGAGAGGAACATCAGTGTGTTCTCGTCTCTCATTGGTTCCAGATACCCAGCTGGGGACCTGGCCCACAACCCAGGCATGTGCCCTGACTGGGAATGGAACCAGTGACCCTTTGGTTCCCAGGCCGGCGCTCAACCCACTGACCCGCACCAGCCAGGGCTCATTTACTTCTGCAGCAGGATTTCTGTAAGCTGGAAGAAAATTCAGACTTCCTACATAGCCAGAGGTGTTGGGTTGTATACAACTACTAATTTGCTATAGGTATCCTCCATAGTCCTATGTAGAGATTATTGAGGAGATGGTGGAAGCCAAGGGCATCTTAGGGGCCACCATCACATGAGATAAACTTGATATTCAGATAAACTGGAGTTCAAATTTACCAGATGTGTGATGTGAGTGAATAATTTCTCTAAGCTTTACTTGAGTTTCAAATGAGAAACCTGGCAGGATTGTTGTGAAGCTAAACTAAATGAGGTACATAAATGGGCTAGATTATAAGTGTCCAAAAAGTGATTAAGTTTTTGACATTGAGAAAGAAATTAATGTTGAAAGTAAACTATTTATGGTAACTTGTGGTCCCCTTTTCCTTTCCTCTTTCTGTCTTCACAAACTCTACAAATATTTAATGAGCACATGCCTTGTACAGGGCCCTATGCTCAGGTGCATACAATTGAGTTGACTTTGTCTTGAAGGAATTTATAGTTTCCTGAGTCACTGGACAATAAGCAAGCACAAAGATGTATGGTTATGAATTATAATAAGTTCTGGTGAGGGAAAGACAGTTCAGTAAAGAGGGATATTTTCAATTAAGTGCTCAGGGAACCTCTTGTTTACCTTAGGTTCAGATTCAGAAAAAAAACAAAAACAAAACTGAAGCAACATTTGGAAAAATTTCCCCAAGTTTGTGCCTACTGTCACTAGGTACTGAATAAAAAGCAGTGCTATTCGCTATAGATATCTGTCTGGTCCTGTATTCTTAACTGTAAGTTTTGGCACAACCATTTAAATCTGATTGTTTTTCATTAGATGATAAAACAGTTTTAATAACTATGTTGCTATCGTGTACCTTACTGCACTTTTTGTACTTAAGTACAAGACTTCTTGAGCTTGTACTTCTTGTGCTAGCAGTCCTTCATAGACTTACTGTACTTTTTCACTGTGCATTTTCTTGGTGTCATCTAACAGCCATGTTATTGTGGTCTTAAATCTTTTCATGAGTCTCAAGTTTCGTCACTAAGTGTTAATTTTGTACATTACTTTTAGCATTAAATCCTTTGCTTCTTTTTAAATTGTGAGGAAGCCTCATTTGTCCAATGGTATAAACACCAGGTGTTTTGTTATTGGAGGTAGTGACAAAAACATCAAGAAATATTTTATTGAGCAAAGATAATTAGGTTGATTGTTTGTCTGTCTAATGGAGGACTAATAATTGGCTGCATTTATAGCAAATTCTGGAGCCAGCTAGATGCCGCTACTTAAAGCCAAGATTTTGTCAGAAGCATCTGACTCTGACTTAATTCCTATGCTTTATATCAGAGAGCTATTTGATTCAGTGACATCTAACAAAGGAGTGATGAGTTCATGATTCTCTGTAACTTTCCTTAAACAATTGTAGTAACAATTGACAACATGTACCTCATTATTTTGCAGGAGTTCTGCATGATAGTTTTCCATCTCCTTCTGTGCCAAGCAATTTGTCAGGACATCACTGAAATTAGAACATGGATAATGACAGATATTTTATTGGGAAATTTATATAGGTGAAGCACCCATTCCCAAAAGGGTAGGAGTGATAGCTGTCTTCGTATACTTGGATATTTTCTAGAACTGGAGAGAATCTTGTTCTGTGGCATTCCACACTTGGACCAAAGTTTCAAACTAACAGAGGTAAATTTTAGCTTAATATAAGGGAGTTGTCTGATAGCGAGGAGCTGGCACTGTGATTTTACACTTTACCTTCCCTGGGGTTATTTGAAAGAGGCCTCTATAGCTATTTGCCTGCAGTGCCCTCTTGGGACTTGAAGGGGCGGAAATAGGATTAAATCTCTTCTAGTCATTTGGTACTAAAATGTAGATATTATTAGGACAGTCTTGTGATTCTTACTGGAAAGGCAGTGCTGTGTAATGAGAAGAATACTAGAATAAGAAAAAAGAGCCACATTTTGACCTCAGTTCTCTCATTTATTTTGATCTACAATATGGGGTTAGTACTATCTGTTGTCTTATTTTCCTCTCAGAGATCTCTATGGGGATCATTAAAAAATATTTTAAAGAAATAATGATACAAATACGAACTAAACATAAAACACATAATTTATGTGGACTTGCGTTTGCTCAAAGCCTAAAAAAATTAGAGAAGAAATGCATACTTATTGAGAAATATTAAAATAATAGAGAAATGAGCCCCAGCTGGTGTGGCTCAGTAGATTAAGCGCTAGCCTGTAAACCATTCAATTCCTAGTCAATGGACATACCTGCATTGTGGGCCACAATCAACGACCTTTTGGTTTGCAGTCTCGTGCTCAATCCACTGAGTCACACCAGCCAAGGCAAATTACTTTCATATTAATAAAGTTTTTCACTGTGACAAATATAAAGCTGCAGTGAAGTTTTTGTATCACATATTTGTTCCACACATGTTATCAAACATCATGCATCAACCTATGGGTATGGAGTTCAGCATAAAATACTGGCATGACTTCAATTGAAGCTCATGGTGTGGTGGGTAAGGTAACATATTAATCAAATAATCTCTCAAGCATGTTAATACAAATGGCATTAAGGCCTATGAAGGAAAAGTCCACTCTAAGGGAACCCTGAGAGTATCTGACAGGAAGAATTGATTAAGTTTGGAGGGTTAAAAAGGCTTTCCTGAGATCTGAAGGATGCATAGCATTTAACTAAATAAAATGGGAAGATCATATATCATCTTCTGAAGGATGCTATTTGTTTGGTATATATATTCAGCATTGTTTTTACTAGTATTCCTAAAATGTTTGGGCTCTAGGATTATGTGATCTCAGTAAGGCAGGAGTCAACTTCATGGTGAAATTACTTTGGAAATACTAAACTAGATTTTACTTTTAGGGAATCATAGTATACATTAGTATAATGCACTCATATGTTTTGCAGTTTAAAAAAATTAAGTCAACCAAAACTTGCTTGGCTGTGGAAACCTTTGGTTTACGTAATGCCTACCAAACTTGAACTGATTTTGTGGGGGGACACTCAATTTTGGGAAACTCTTGTCTTTACCTTGAGATGGAAAAGGAAAATGAAAATCGATGGCTATATACTCTAAATAGTTCTGGAACTGCTGTTAGTAACAGCTAATATTTTATGCTTAAGTGCGTTAGTCACTGTGCACACTTAATGCATGTTATCTGATTTGATCTTCAAAATAGCCCTATGATAATGATATAATTATCCCATTTTACATATTGGGAAATTAGAACTTAGAGGTAAATGATGTGTCCAAAGTTACATAACTAGCAGATGGCTATCCATCGCTTAGGTGAGGTGTATGCTAGGAGATCTCATAAGACAATTAAAAAAGAAAGCCTTCCTTTGTTTATGTGTTCAGTTGTCATTGTTTTTTAATACTGTATTTTTGTGCATAATGGAAGCAGTGTGACACCAATTGGATTTATGTTAAATGTATCTTCCCCCCAATTGACTTGTTATTAAATTCAACATATTTTTTCAATTGACAGAGTGACAGTCTCTGATGTGCTGGGTCTTATGATGTATGAGTGCAGAAAAATATTATTCCAAATAAAAGTCATAGTGCTAGTGAATATTCACTATTGTGAGTATTTTGAAGTATTCTCAATTATTTACCTCTCATGTCCCCCCCCCATACCCCTCCCCCCCCCAGCACTAAATAATTTCATCCTTGCTTGGTATATTCTATATACCTACATTTTCAAGGTGCTTTCACATGAAGCCAGTAAATTGATTTGTATGTTTCTTAATGTTGAGACCTACTATAATATAATTGTTTTTGTACCTCAATCTTATGTTTTCTTTTTATTTTTCTTAAAGATTTTATTTATTTTTGGAGAGAGGGGAAGGGAGGGAGAAAGAGAGGGAAAGAAACCTCTGTGTGAGGGAGAAACATCAATGTGCTGCCTCTAGTGCCCCGACCTGGGACTGAACTGCATCCCAGGCATGTGCCCTGACCAGGAATTGAACAAGCGACCTTTAGCTTTGTGGATGAAGGCCCAGCTGAGTCACACCAGTCAGGGCTCAATCATATATTTTAGACATTTATTTAATATTCAGTGAATGACAGTTGAAACTAATTTGCCTTAATTTGATCTGTGTTAAGGAATAGTGGAATAGTACTCTACTCACTTTTGGGTTATGCAGTTTTATAATTAAATTGTCAATACTT